TAGCATACGAATCACGAATCACTAATTACTAATTACTAATTATTATTCGGTACTTATATAAATAAATGGTGTTTCAATTTTATTTATGTTTATGTTTATCATTTGTCACCCTTGTTTTTATGGTCATTATTGGTCATCTTTGGCTTTTGGCTTTTGCTTTGGTTTTAGTTTTGTTTTATTTGTTGATTTTGCCAAAATATTTTTTTCGTCTTTTGGTGTTTCGGTTTTTGCGCTCTTTTTAGAAACCCCTTTTTGAATATTATCTGCGACATTTTTTGTGTTTTTTTTAGAAACTTTTTTTTTGTCAACATCGTAATTGTCAGCATTATCAGTATTGTCAGCATTGTCAGCATTGTCAGCATTACCAACAGCATTGTCGGCATTGTTAGCATTGTCAGCATTACCAGCAGCATCATCAATATCATCAATGTTGTTGACACTATCGTTTTTTTTCTTGGGTACCGAAGAACTTTTGGAAATAACTTTATTTTTTTTATTTATTTCTCCATTTTTGGTCTTTTTAACATCGTCCATATTATTATTATTTTTTTTATTTTTTGAATGTTCAGTTCTAACAATATCAACTTCGTCATCGACGTCATCAACATCAATAACGTCAATATTATTGGTATTGTCGTTTTTTTTCTTGGATACCGAGGAACTTTTAGAAATAACTTTTTTTTTATTTATTTCTTCGTTCTTTTTGGTCTTTTTAACATCATCCCTATTTTTTTTTTTAGGAAGTTCGGTCCTAACAGTATCAACTTCGTCGTCACCATCAACATCATCATTGTCATTATCCTTAACATTATCGATATCATCGTCGTTTTCGAATCCATTAGAGTCGGTTATCCCATAGCTGTTTAAACCGCCGGTATTTGTGTTTTCTTCTAGCTCAGGATCATTATCAACCTCATTGTCAATACCGGCAAAATTCTCGATTATTTTTCCGGAATCATGAAGCTGTTTTAAATAATTTATGCATTTATTTCGATAACTGTCAAGTCCGGATTCAAAATCACATATAACTGCAAAAATTGCTTTAAGTCTTTCAAACTGTTCGTCTTTGCAGAGGGATGAATCGATTTTGGTAAAACATCCAGAAAGCTTATAAAGAAAGTCTTTACATTCTTTGGAAAGTTCCGTAATACCGTATTCTTCGTCGTATTTGGAAATTTTACCGTTGTTCGTATTATCGTTATTTTGGTTTGGTGTTTTAGATTTTACAATTTTAGAACTCATTGTTATGTTTAAAATCTTAACATATATTTAAATACTATTTCATGATGTTATTATTTCAACTTTTTGTAAATAATCCTGATTTCCGAAAATATTATGATTTATCAATATAAATATGATATGATAGATTTAATATTATTGGCGATAATAATTGGCAAGTCATTTGGTCCAACAATATTTGGCAATAAAGCGATTCCAGATGAGTTATTTTTAAATAATAAATCAGACACAATAAATAGCGATTTGCCTTGGGATAAAGAAATAAAAAATCCACAAAAAAGAGATTGGTCTCGCAAACAAAATCTTACATTTTATTAAACTGTCCGTTTTTTCTCTTTTTTAAATTTGAATAAATCCAAATATACTTTATAATTTGTTAATTGTAATAATGGGCATTATATTAAATAAATAAAACGATTGTTTACATAAACATTCTTTTCCATGAATCGTCTTCAACATTTGTTTTGTGTTTTTTGAAAGATTCGAGTCCTTGTTTTAAGTCTTCCTTTGTGTAGATATTCCTTTCATTTGGATTTTTTCCAATTGTTCTCGCACTATTAGCAAATCCTATGTGTGTGATTAGATTTTCAATATCACCACCGCAGTTATTAAAGTATCTTATGTCTTCAAACATATCAATGATATCCTGTTCATTGACTGTAAGTGATTTTTTTGTTTTCACTATTGGTGTTTCTTTCAATTCGTTCGATTTTTTTAAATTATTGTCCAGTTCGTCTATGTCAGACTTTGATTTGGTCCATAAGCCGGTTCTTGGACTAACTCCGATACTGATTCTATTTCCGATTATTTGACTATCTTTTTGGGTCAAGTCTTGGACCACAATTTGAGACCGAAGTTGAACTTTGTTATTGTTATTTGACACGACGTCGTTTGGATCTTTATAAAGATAAATAGCATCATTGAGTCGCAACATTTTAACAAAAATGTCTTTCATTTCTTCCTTGGTATAATCTTTTAAAACATATCTGAATGGAAACCGCCTATCAAGACCTTGGTTAATTTTAAAGAATCCTTCTTTTATTTCCTTTTCATATCCTGCAATAATAATAATTAGTTTTCGGCGGTTTTCACTAAGCTCCTGATTAATTGTGTCAATGCATTCTTTCCCATAATTACCAGATTTGTCGGAACCGCTAGTAAGGGTATATGCCTCATCAATAAAAAGCACACCACCGTTAGCCTCCTCCAAAACACGCATAGTCTTTTGCCTGGTCTGACCAACATACTGCCCAATTAGTTCGCTAGCTTTAACCATTGTAAAATTTGTGCTTGGAACAAGTTCGAGAGCTGAATAGATCATACAAAGAATTTTGCCAAGATCTGATTTACCAATACCCGGACTCCCATAAATTGCGGTATTTAACATTCCACTGTTATGTGAATCGTAGATAAAATTTGAAACAAACTTAAAAATATCCTCTTTGACTTCTGTCATGCCAATCATACTATTTAGTAATTGAATCGGTTTGACAAGTTTCATTAGTTTTCGGGGACTAACACTGTATTTTTTGTTCATAAATGTGTATAATCCATCTTTGTCTTTGGGAATATCGGTATCAATACACATTTTTTTTTGTTTTATTTTTTCATTAGAAACATAGGCGGTTTTATTATTTATGTCACAGTCTGTATCATCATCATGTGATGTCGGTTCCGAATAGTCTGTTTCACTATTTAATCCATAGTCTGTTTCATCATTTAAGTCGTTGTCTAAATCTGTTTTGGCGTCAATAACATTTATGGCTTCAATAACATTGAAAATTCCACAATCCCGATTTAGGGCATTGTTTTTCTGGTCTGGAGCAGGGACATGGTTTTCCTGGTCTGGGGCAGGGACATGGTTTTCCTGGTCTGGAGCAGGGACATGGTTTTCCTGGTCTGAGGTAGGGTTTTCTTGATTTAAAGCATGATTCAGTGCATTACTTAAAAAAAACATGATTTCATTTTCTATTATTTTTGTCGCGATTTTATCATCCATGACATTTAAATCATTTTTGTTTAATTTGTTTTTTTTTATGAAATCGTTTTTTGGTTTGTTTTTTTTTATTTTTTCATTATGTTTATTGATTTCGTTTATAAATATTTCCCCTTGCTTTTTAAAATCATCAAGAGTATTAAAATTTAACTGCACGTAATTCTCAACATTTTCTAAATTATTCCCATTAGTTTTATAAAGCTCGCGCTCCATATTAGGAATCTGTACTTCTTTAAACACATCGTCGTTTTTTTTACTATCATTGCATTTATATTTATTATCGGTCATTTTCATCATTTCTGACATAACTGTCAATGGTAATGGAAATGGAAATGGATCTGAGCTAGAATCCTGGGCAAACGGTTTACGTATGCAAAATATTTTTGCATTTTTATTTGTTGGATCCAAATTTGATTGGGTTCTTTTTTTTGCCCGTTGTTTTTGTAAACTATTGCCACAAAAATTAAAAATTTGGTCTGGTTGTAAAATCGACATAAATCCATTGTTTGGGGGTTTGCATTTATTGCATGAATCACTGCCTTTGCCCCTGTCCGTGTTTGGTAAGGGGACATTATTTGTTTTTGATTTATCGGTCAAGTCATTGGAATTTTGTTTGTCGAGTTTTTTTAAAATCGCCGAAAACTTACTGCCTATTGATTTCTCCAGTTCATGATGCTCGTTTCGCAGAGTTTTTACCGAATTATATATCTCGTCATTTTGGGTTGTAAGTTTATTGATTTGGTTAACTAAAATATTTACCACTTCGGAATGTGCACGCAGAACTTGCTGCCATGCGATATTGTTATTGTTGGTATTGACGGCAGTTGTCGCAAATTGATTAGAAATATTTTTAATCATATTTAGTATATTTGCATTTAAAATATTGTTCGAAATATTGTTCGAAAAGCTGTTTAACGTAATACTGTTTGAAATGTCCGAAATCTTTTCCGAAATGTTATTCAACATTTCACTGGTTTTTTTCGGATCATCTGAACCATTCAAACCATTAATACCACCTTTTTTTTGAGTTATGCTCATTTTTTGGTCTGTTTTGGCATGTTGTTTTTTTTTGTCTATTTCAACACTATTTTTTGGAATAATTGTGACGTCATTTTTTAAAACAAACGGTTCCATCTGAGTTATTTTTGATTTAATATTGTGATAAGCTTGAGATCTCGTTTTTGTTTTTGTTTTTGTTGTTGTCAATTTTTTGCCTAAAACCGACTTTGTCTGGGACATCCGGTTGCTTGACATTGGACGTGTTCTATAAGAGTTTGGCTGAATATTATTCGGCGACTTATTGATGTGTTTCTTTTGCTCTTTTTTTATGACAGCTGGCATTGTTTTTTTCGTCATTGATTCCACTTTATTACTATCATTTGAACTCATAGTACTATTTATTAGTATGTATTAATACCCAAGTACATTATACAGTGTCAATAAATATCAATTTTTTATAATAATACTGGCCATATATGTTAATTAAAGTCACTAAACTAAAAATATCTAATTATATTATGTCAGCCAATTTCATTAACCATGTCATTGTTTTTAATTTTAACCGTGTAACATAATGTTATTGACCGATAAATTAGCCAAACATTAACATTAACATGTCGGCCAGAGTCTGCAACTAAAATCACCAACCAAACCAAATAACGTCGTAAATTATAAACTAAACATATTAACAAAGATTATACAAACAACAAATTACGCATAAAGACTAATATTAAATATTATTAATTAAAAAGAGAAAATTACCAACATGAAAACTGAAGTATGTATTGTTTACATCAATGATATTCCTGTCCAAATTATGTATGATGTTGGCGAGGCCCTTATTTACATGAAATCAGAATGTAACAGAAATATGTCATTAATTGCATCTGTTGCAGAGTCTTTAAAAATTGATGTTGAGTCGCAGTTTTACCACATTAACATGAAAATGAAAGTGTTGGTTCATAATAAGCAAGGTTTGTTTATATCTCAACGCGATTATGCATTTGATCCTTTATCCAAGTCAATCAAACAAAATATCGAAGTGTCTGATATTTCTAAAAACATTAAATTGCCAAATTATAACTACGATCGTTATGTTAATAATCAGTCCGTTGATGGCACAACAAAAAATAACACATTAACAAATTACACATTAACAAATAATAATATACCGACAAAAAGTAATGTACAAACAGAAAGAACTATCATTGACACTACTGAAAGTAATATTGATAATGAATTGCTTAAACTTGCTTCAACATTGGTCAAGACGTCAAAAGGGGATTTAGACGACTCGGTTAAAAAACTCGAATCAATATACAACGGACTTTCTGAAGAAGCATTGATTGATGCCGAAATTAAAAATCTTAAAACTCAAGCATCAAAAAATAAACTTGATAAAAGTGATATAGATAGCTCAGACAGTAATAAATCTGACAATGAAAAATCTGATTCAGACTCCGATTCAAACTCTAATTCAGACTCTGATTCGGACTCAATGAAATTGGATACAGACTCAGATACAGACTCAAATACAGACTCAGATACAGACTCAAATACAGACTCAGATACAGACTCAGATACAGACTCAAATACAGACTCAAATACAGACTCAAATACAGACTCAGATTTGGTTTCTGATGACAAATATGATTTTAATTTTTATAATAAAAATAATGAAAAAGAAAAAGAAAAACCCGATAACAACAAAAAAAACACCTATATTAATGTAACCGATGATATGCCAGAAGATCTCAAAACATTGATTAATGCCAGAAACACACTAAAGAAAGACATCATAACTAAAGATCTAATTGTTAGGAAGGCAAACAAAAACCTAAAAAATGAACTTTTTAAAAAGAGATGTGACGAACAAAATAAAAAAATAGAAGAACAAAGAAAAAAAGAGGGGATATCTATTTTTATGTCTGATAAAAACACGTATCTTAAAATGCGCGGACAAATTAGAAGGGGTATTATTGAGGAAAAACATATTTCTCCATTATTTAAACATAAGTATTATATCATTAATTTTATGGAAAAGAAAGGACTCGTAAAGTTTGTAAAAACCACCGACGATGAAAAAGAAAATGAAAAAGAACAGCATATTTTTTCCCAATTCCAAAAAGTTTTCGACATCAACGAAAACAATGATTTGGGTTATGATTGCGATAACTTAATTGATTCTATTGATAATGAATATATTGAGTTATGTATAGAATTTTTGGAAATGTTGGAAAATACAGATGGTGTGATTTTGTCGGATCGTGCAATCCATTCGATATTAAATGAAAATAACAAAGAAATTAATAAAACACTATTTAGAGAGCCTGTCGATGTTGATATTTTTAATAAAAAACATAAATAAATAAAATATCATTTTTACTGTAAAATATGCGTTAAATGTTTATTTAATATATCAAACATATTAAATAAAAAATTATATTAAGCAATACAACACACAATACAATACAACATGATCCAACATAAGGCTGGTAAAATAGACTCAGATTATTCTGGAAAAATCATGTTTCAGCAAGGACAAACGTTAATTTTGGTTGCCGAGATAGGCACTGGTGCATATGCATCAGTCTGGATGTGTTACTCAATAAATGATAAAAACCTATATGCAATTAAAATATTCCAAAAAAAAGAAAAGATTGCTGCACATAAAGAAATAGAACTTTACAATAATTTTCGCGAATTGGGTATCAAAAATACCGTAAACCATTATACAACATTTGATGACAATGGTAGAATTTGTGTTGTTTTTGATCTGATGGCAGGCTCCCTTTACGACATAATAAAAAAGGGCGGTACAGATAACGATACGGTATTTGTAAATGGTTTTGATGTCGATTTTGTAATTAAGGCACTATATCAGGTTCTCCAGTCTTTAGTAGACCTGCATAATAATAATATTACTCATGGTGACATTAAACCCGAAAACATTCTTCTATACGGAAGGACAAAACTGCATTCAGACCTAATTGACATTCTCCATCCAAAGTCGTCTCTTAAAAGAATATCCGATGCTATAATTAAATTTAGCAAAAATTTTGGGAAAAATGATTGTGAATCAAACCACGAAAGCTCAATTGATTCAGACGACACGTGCAATAGTCATAATTCGTCAGTAGTTTCCGAAATGAGCGAGGCTCCAAAACAAATTGTACTTTCTGATACTGAAGACGTCGAATATAATGATATTAATGACATTGAGGATGTTGACGATATTGATATTGATAACATTGAAGACGTTAACGACATTGGTTTTGAATTTGAAGAAAATCTAAACAACAATCATGTTGCAGAACATCTTAAACTTCCAAGACACTACTTCGATTCACCGATTGTTAAACTATCAGATATGGGAGCATGTGTTAATATTAATGACATAAAAAAGCCGATTGGCGTTCAGACAAAATATTATAAATCACCTGAAATTATTCTTGGGTTAGAGTATGGACCTCCGTGTGACATGTGGGCTCTCGGATGCACAATATACGAACTATTGACTGGAAACATTTTATTTGACCCTGACAAATACGACAATGACAAAAAAAGATGCATGCTTCACCAGATTTATGCACACATTGGTAAAATCCCCAAAAAAATGGCGGACGAATCTCCATACAAACAGGTGTTTTTTACTGATGAATATACATTAAAAGAAAATGATATATATGGCGATAATTGCGACTTTTACCGGGACAATATATGGATGTCGTTCTTGGTAAATCTTAAATCAGAAACAATTACAAAATATATGCTATTGAATCTGATATTAGATATGTTGAAAACAGACCCAAAAAAACGCATTACGGCAAAAGACGCATTAGAACATCCGTTGTTTAGTTTATGTCATTGAAGGTTTAAGGAAAATAAAATAAAACAAAATAACCATTGATGCTTTTTGTCTTTAATTCAATTTGCGACTCCATGTGATTTATTTTATTACTAATGAAAGACCAATAAAATAAAAGAAAATGCCGAAAATTAACGAATTTGTTAAGATCGGTTTGCTTTATTTAACATTCCGCCTAGTTTATTTTAGGCGGTGTTTTTACCCCCTTGAAGATTTATAATAAAACGAAACAATAATCCAATTAAAATCTAAAAGGTTTATCCATTACAGGAATATGTAAATTATGATTATGTTGTAGCGACAACTACAACTGATTAGTTTTTAGTCCTCGTTATATTATATTGGCATTAATGTTTTTACAACAAAATACCTATATTGAAGTAAGGGAGTAAATCGCTATAGAACTTATAACTATTCATTACTAACATAATGTTGTCATTATTTTCTTTAAATAATTCTGTCATTATATCATTTTAAATCTTCAAGGGTGTAAATAAATATTAAATTGCGAAACGAAAATGTTTCAACGCATAATGCTTAAAAAATGTTAAATTTTAACTAATATAATAACATTACAATGCAATCCTATTATACAATTCTAAAAAACGGCACATATTGCGCTAATAATCCAATTAACACAACACAACACAACACAACACAACACAACACAACACAACACAACACAACACAACACAACACAACACAACACAACACAACACAACACAACACAACACAACACAACACAACACAACACAACACAACACAACACAACACAACACAACACAACCCCGTTACACGATTCCAAAAAATGCAGTGCCAATATACAAGTATGTACATGAATCAGAAAATCAGTTTTACGGTGCTATCGGTTGTATTCCCACCCAAGTACTCCAATAATTATTACCACTGGCGTAATTTTCTGCGGGGGCGTTGCTATTAGTAGTTTCTGTCGAATAATTTGATGGTGCCGAATTGGTGGGTTGTGTATTGATATACGGTGTCGTAGTGTTACATACCGGTTGAACATGTCTCATACACCCATCTCCTTTATTCCGTAAACGACCAATTTTATTCAAAGTTTTTTCATCGAGAACATTACTTGGCCTTACACCGAAATAATCGGCAAGATTACATGTATTCGGGTTTATTGTATAATATTGCGACATTTAATAATATAGAGTTATGTATATCACAATATTTTCGTTAGAAATAACAAATGATTGTTATTTTCAATTTTTTGCAAATAACGAATAAAATAATAACGTAAATGCGCTAATATTGGCTTCTAGAGGTTATATATAATAACATTTAACATATTTTATATGTTAATGAGAACATCATGTAGAGCGTAATTTCATTTTTATTGATAATTTTTAGGACTATATTACTTTTTATTTTCAACAAATATGCCAATAATACAAATTAACACAAAAACAAAAAAGAAAACACGGTTGCGATATTACTAACTATTGTTGGTAAAATAACAGCCATCGTAATAAAATATTGTGACCATGTTAACTTTTATATCAATATAATATAATATAATACAAATATAATATAATATAATATAATATATTATATTTACACCCTTGAAGATTTAAAATAAAATAAAATGAGACAATAATGACAAAACTAATCAGTTGTAGTTGTCGCTACAACATAATCATAATTTACGCATTTCTGTAACGAATTAACCTTTTTGATATAAAATAGGATTTATGTCCCATTTTATTTTAGATCTTCAAGAGTGTTAAAAGAGTAAAGTAAAAGTAAAAGTAATCAGACATGACGCATAACAAATAAATTAAACCGATTTTAAAACATGTTCGCATTTCCCTTAAATGAATAACTTTCCCATTTTTCAGTGAAAAATATGTAATTGTGATTTTTTTATAATTGTTGCAAATAAATCACAATATTGGTAAATTTGTTTAATGTGTTAAATATTATTGCTAATACGCAAATAAAATACAACATTTTATGAATGCGTTTAGCAAAAATAACAAAATGATATCCGAACCATAAACATAAATAATTCTATTTAACACAGAGTTATTTTTATTCTCGGAAAATATAACATTAAAGTATAGAATATGAACAGAATAAAAATATTGGTAGAGGACATATTTGGTTCAAGTGATATAAATATAAATTCCCCTGTGATTTTTTTAAGAAACGTGCCACGCGAATATCTTGTTATAGTCAAAGATAATATTGCCGAAATCAATATCAACAAACTATATAGAGATCTTGAGCAAAACGTGCGGAATATTGATAAATTTATCCCGATCGGACAAATTACAACGATTGCATCCAACTCAAAAAAATATGTGGTTCCGATGGCAAATACAAGAATAGTTCACACAACAAATTCATTCGAGGAGGTCAAAAACAATGTATGGATAGGAGTCGTAAGAAAAAACAGTAGAGAAGGTAGAACATTAGGAACTATATTTAGTAGAGGCGTTCCAAAAAAAGAATATCCGGTTTTTCCACGGTCTTTTTTAAAAAAAAACACATTGCAACCGGAAATAGAAACCGGTATGTATCAAGATGTTTACTCCGATAATGTATATGGAAAATGGACTCTGGATCTGTACAAATTCAATGTTGACAAAACCCATTTTAAATTTATTGATCCAACTGGCAAAATTGGCAACATGAATATTTCCAAATCCATAATGCCGACGGATGATAATAATGCAAAAAATAACAAGGGTTACTTTAATACTCAGGGCCTATTTGTTACTGGCTCAAAAAACGATTTGTATTCAGTTAATGTTGAAAGTATTAATGCTAATGATGACGATCAATTAGCACTGGATTTAAACGAAACTGCAGAATTCATGTCTGATAACACAAAAATAAAAAAAACAAATGATAAAGACAAACGTGTTATTGTTAATGCCAAAATTTCATGTATTCCATACGCTTCAACAATTTTAAAAATATTTAAACATGGTAAAAAGTTAGTTTTAAAAGAGAAAAATAACCCGTGGTTCACAGATTCCGAAATAGTTGGACCTATTGCCAATGTAACAGATCCTCATAAAGTAACAGGTATTGAACCTATTGGTACAATTATTGATATTCTCGATGATGATGAAACACCGCGTACAGAAAACGAACCGTTTGTTAGATATCCTAATGTAAAAAAAACAAAAAATAGATACGGCGCTTTTACTTTTATTAACGAGCCAAAAACCAACTCAAACAATATGGATTACACTAACAACATTATAATATATGTCATGTGTGTAATAATATTACTGATACTTATTTACAAGTTAACTGACAGGAAATACTAAAAAGTGCTTAATTATATAAACAAATTTAAAAAAAAATAAAATTAAAACATATAATGCTGTTTGGAAAATTTACGGATCTAATGTGATATCATAATCTGTGTCTTTTTTTATTGGTCCGTCGTCAAGTTTTATTTTCATTGAAAATAAAATTTTACTAAGATTACTTTTAAACTCGTTATTTAATATTAGCAATTTGTCCGATAATTTGTCCGCCAAATCCAATTCATATTTACGAATATTTTCAAGCATTTTTTTTGGCGAACCTGAATATTTTGGTACCTCGATTTTGCCAAGTTTTTTTAGATATGCTTCAAATGTTGCAATTGAATTATTAATATTAACATGGGACTCGTTTAATTTATTTTTTGTCTGATTGTGCTTTTTGATATTTTTAATTAATTTCGTTCTTGATTTAAGGACTTCTCCTAAAAGTTTATTTTTGGTATAAGCCAAAACTATCAAATCGTAGTGTTCCCGGGAAACAGTGTCTTTGTTATTAGATATGATGCATTGTTTGTTTTTAGTAGACGGATCATATCCACCGTGTATACATGATAAATATAAAAATAACACAAATAATACAAATGACGTGTTCATTTTATTTTTATTTGGGTTGGGTTGTGTTGTAGAACGGAGTATTTTTAATAATAAGTATTGAGATCCATAAGTATTTTATAAATCAACTTTTTATCTCAGTCTATTTTATTTATGTACCACTAATCGTATTTATTAGTAACAGATGATTATGACTTATTACGACCCTATGTTTGGTGGCATTTTATTTTATAAAAAAACTTGTTATGTTTATTTTATTCAAATTAATATATTGATAAAATATAAAATATTTAATTTAATATTACTCTTGACGTATTTAACTTATTTGAAGCAAAGCTATTTTTAAACTTATTGATTAAAGACATTAGTTCTCTATAAAGAAGGACATTAATATCCGGATTGTTTTTTGTTAAACTGTCAGTCATATTGACCTTATATGAATTATTGTTAGATGTTTTTATTTTTTCATTTGAATTATTGATAAACACATACATGTCAGTGCTGTTTTTAATAAATTGTATTTTTTTAAATTCAAGTCTGTTAAAATCATATTTGTCTAAATTAGAAATATCGATATTGTCTAAATCGCCTGATTCGGAATCACTTGAATCATCTGAATAATCATCAGAATTATCAGAATCATCTACTAAATCAGGTTTTAAGCCAGATCTATCAGGTTCAGTAACGTCAATGTTGTCAAGATCGTCATCGTCGCTACCCTCATTATCGTCTAGGTCCAGTTTACCTAAATCATAATTACCCGATCCGGAAAATTCCGATTTAGGCATATTTGAATTTGAAATATTAAGATAAAAACTGGTTGATCCAACTTTTTCATTTTTTAGAGGGAAAGCACACATATGTGCGCAATAAATAATCAACAAAAAAACGATGTTCATTTTTAGATATATATAATTAACAAAATAATAAAAATCAAAGATTTCAAGTATTTTTCAAATCAATTTTTTCCAAAATATTTAACTTTAATAGGCAAAAATTTTGTTTGTCTACAATAATAGTTTTACCTTAAACAAATAAAATTATTAGGGGCAGACAAAGACAAAGACAAAGGCAAAGGCAAAGGCAAAAGCAAAAGCAAAAGTTTAAGGCGGATTTGACATTCTTATTTATGTAGATTTATTTTTGTATTGACATGTCTTGAAGGAAAAACATTTTAAAATTAATTACATAGACACCAAATCAATATAATGAATAAAAAAAGAACGCATGCTGACAATATAATTAATACGGTCTTCTACCCTTGACAATGTTCTTATTTAATGTGTTTTCGAACCGTTGTTGGAAATGTCATTATTGATTTTTTCGGACATGGATTTCATTGAACTATATACCTTTTTTAATTCGTACTTTAAATCAAAATCGTTGTCTAAAGATAGAAATTCGTCAAAATACATATCGGCCGCATCCAAGTTTTTTATAATTGTGTTAATTGCAGAACCATCGTGCAAAGGAATGTGAATATTGTTGATTTTTTCTATAAACTTTTTTATTTTTTTAATATAACTGTAAATACGTGAATACGACTTGTTTAATTTACTTTCGGACGTGTTTTCTAAAGAACCGCGCATAATGTCGATCTTTTTATATTCCTTTTTGAGATTTTTTGCATTTTCGATAAATTTGTCCTGTTGTCTATAAACAGTTTTTAAAAGCATATCATTGATGTAAAAAACGAATTTCGAATCAATTTCGTATTGGGAATTTGTGTTTTGCGAATTGACACTTAACTGATTTTGGACAGGTTTGCAATATATGTATGACACACATAATAATGTCAATATAACATTATTCATGTTTATGTTTATTACAGAGTGTTTTATATAATATAATAGATGCCATATGTTCTATCTAACTACAAGCTATTTAGATAATTGTAAAATCAAATTTTACTAATTATTTCATTGTAAGCAAAAATTAAAAAATATCCATGTAACTAGGCTAGGGGTAGGGGTGGAAGATTGGGACGATATAAGTTATATTGCCATAACACGTTCTTTTTTTATTTTTTTCATTTTAACACAATTTATTAAAGTACTCGTGGCAAAAAAACTAAAAACACCGTAAATAACAGATAACAAATAAAAAAATTCAAATAATGACAAATACAATTGAATAACCATATTTGCATTTTTGGTTTTCCACCCCCAATTATATTATTTTTACGGACCATCTAGTCCATCGGTTTTATCAGAATCGCTAGACTCGTGATCGAATGCCTCTCCAAAAGCCTTTTCAAATTCGCTGATTTTTATGATTAATTCGTTTTTTGAT